ATCTATGTAGCCCACGTCGTTGTCAGAACACCACCTGGACACCCAGCGGTTAAACCACGACATACGGCTAAACATGTCATCGCTGGTCAGGTTGGAGATGGGGCCGGAGAAAACTATGGAGTCCCACATGGTTTTAGCAAAGTCACACACAGAAGCAGCATTAATTTTAGTGACCTCTGATTAGAGGAACCGGGTGTCATTACCGCCGACTATGGCCGCTGGAGTCCCTAAAGACACGTTTGGGACTATGGAGCTTCCAGTAACCAGGGTCTGCTTCTCAGCGGGTGTCCCTGAGCGAGGAAAATCGATTAGAAACATGAACGGGTCGGTGGTGAACTGGGGGCTTAGCCTTAGCACTACGCTTGCTCCGGACCGTCACCCAGCCGGCCTGGGGTCTCGGCTGCTCGGGGTCTGCTGGAGGACCGCTAACGGGAGCTAGCCTCTATGGTTCCACGCTGTCTAAGGGGACCTGGCTAGCTACTGGTTTTTCTACAGCGCGGAGCCGAGCTTCCAGTTCAGACAGCCTCTCCTCCAAAGCGACCATAGGACTACATTTGTTACATGTATCATTACCACTAAAGGAGGCAGAGGAGGAACTAAACATCTGACCACGGAGCAAGAGAAAACAGGAAGCAGGGAGAGAAGCAGCAGCATTTTAAGTTCCTGAGACTCTTTGGGATTAACCTGTAAATCAAAGGTTTAATGGGAAAAAAGCTAGCAAGTGCTAGTAGATCTCAGTACACCAATAAAAACCAAGAAGTGTTGAAAGGTGTTTCAAGAACAATCCAACAGTAGAAAAAAACTGTACGGAGGGTGTTTGAACTAGAACGGAGTCTTGTTTTCTAGATTTATCAATTTTACAAACGAATTACTCCAGCAGAGAAAACAGGAAGTGACAATACGTCTCGTCGCAAACGTCCTCAACAATTTTCAGTGTGTGATCAGTTGGGTTAGACCCTCCTGACTCGTGAGACCAAGTCCGATGCAGACCCAAATACTGCTTTTATGCTGAGAAAAGACCCGGCAGCCAGAACCTGCTCAGAAACTTTATTCTTTAAAAAAAACAGTTTGAGAACTGAGGGCCGTAAACCCGGTCCAGATTTCAGCCTTCAGGCATTTACTGGTCATCAGTCTCGTCTTTGATCCAAGAGTTGTACTCGGGGACTCTGGTGAAGACCGATGGCTTGTCGGCGTTGCACCGCCAGCTGCCCCATGTCACTACGCCAAACAGGAAGTAGGTGTCCCGCCTCTGACAGAACAGAGGAGCCCCGGAGTCGCCCTGCAGAGACAAGCCTTAGTGTTACATCGTTCAGCCTCCGAACAGAACTGGTCTTGAAGCAGCTGAGGTACCATGCAGGAAGCGGAGCCCGCGGGGTGTGCACAGATGTGAGCGTCGGTAAAGAAGTCCCCCCACTTCTGGTGGCAGTCAGTTTCATTGACAAGGGCCAGTTCAGCCTGGTGCAGCTTGGAGGGGTTCATGTTCTCTACAGAGCAAAATCAGACAAGTCAAAGAGTCACACCATTTTTTTTTTACCCGTTTTTCATGTATGTTCACAAGAACATGATCAAAACGTCCCACAGACAAAACGTGCACACCTGATTCTTGGAATTTTTTTGCATGGGTTCTGAGATTCTTTGGTAGTTTTAACTTTGAGCTAGCCTTCGCTTCTTTTCAGCTGATGTTCTGCAGGTTTTAACTTTGCGCTCTTAGAACCCTACCAGCCACGACATCAGTGGAGGAAGAACAATCTGCATCCAGGCTGACAGTCCACGGAGTTTTTACCATTTTTCAAACCTGCTGGCGCTACAAAATGCTACATTAGCTAATGCTGACCTTCAGCTCCTCAGGGGCCACAGTAAGCAGAGGTCAGGGTTAATTTAAGATTTAAACCGCATTTTTATTTGAAACAAACGTGTTGGACAGAGCTCACCTGCAGGCCACATGTGGCCCCCTGGCTGCCAGGTGAAAAGCCCCATTCTACACTTTAATGCAATGCTGTTTGTTTGTCAGTTTCCTCAGAACAACGCCCGAGGCTGCTGAATGGACCCATCCACCTGGAGCTGACGGTTGGATGTTCTGCTCAGGTGGACCGGTACGTTCAGCACCAGCAGCATATTGGTCCATCTCTTCTCAGCACACGGACGTTTGCGGATCAGAACCATAAGAGGGGAAGGTACCTGTTGCTTTAGTTTTTCCCCACCCAGCTGTGATACAAGTCCAACTGTTGTCCAGTTCTTTGTCCTCCACTGGGACACAAATCGGAGACACTTTTGGGCCTGGAGACAGAACCAGAATACTTGTTAGTTCAATAAGTGGTTAAATCCAAGTTAAAAGTTCAGGACTGGAGCTCTTTCTGACCCAGTTTAGCAGAGACACTGAGGCGGAGCAGAGACAGGTCTGACTGAGGGGGGAAGCTGGCGTCGTGCATCGGGCTGATCACGTCCTCCACCAGGATGGTTTGCGTCGACTTCTCATTCATGTCATGGAGTCCAAGGATAGCCACATCTTCCTTAGCACTGCATGAAGGAGTGTGTCAGTCTGAGACCAAGCAGTGGTGCTGGAGGATTACCTGGAGGGTGGGCGGGTCACCTGACACTGCAGTGTTTGGCAGTGACAACCCAGCGGTGGTGGATCAGGACACCGCTGCAGTAGTGCTTCCTGTTGGACTGAAGACTGACCATCCATGGCCAGGAGAAAGGACAGGACTCTGTCACATTGTCCACCTGGATCCCCCTACCCTGGGACACAGAGATCCCAGCCAGACCTGGAGTCCGATCACAATGTGAAGGCCGCTGCTTCCCACACCTGTCCTCTGCAGCCCAGGTGAAGGACGACACAAAGCAGGTCAGTTTGTCAAGAAATTAGATGAGCGTTTGGATCTTGGACTTGGAACACACCTTCCTCTGCGAAATCCTCTTCTAATCCAACGTTGCTATCTGAGCACGAGAGAACAAACGGTTCAAGGCAGAACTCTCGTGGTCCAGTGGGGAAAGGATTTGCAGGTATCTGAATACTCACTCATCATCTCAGAGATCCACCAAACGTGCTCCTGGACTTTGGTGTAAACTCCTGGTTTTTTGGCTCGACCACATCCAACTCCCCAACTCACCAGACCCGCCAGCTCATGTCTGGTGCCGGTAAAGCACGACAGCGGACCTCCCGAGTCCCCCTGAAACCATAGGGGACCAAGATCATGAAGAACAATGAGATCAAAGGCACACATCATGCTCCTTGTTCTTAAGATCATTCTGGACCTCTGACAACTACTGATGGATTAGCTTGTTGAAGGGACGTCTAGTCAAAAAGTAAGGGTAACACCAGAAAAACTGACTGGACCTTAGTGGGTTTTAGCTGAAGAGGATCTGCCTGATGCTTATCCGCAGGGTTAAACGTACAAGAGATCATAAAATAAACGTTGCTTCTGGATTCCTGCATCTTGGGGGGATTGAACCAACAGGGTTTAAATCATGACTGAAACTTTACAAAGCACTTTATTGAAGATTACGTGTGACATTTATAAAGATACTGCAAGTACAGTTGAGAGGCATGAGGCTTTAAGTGTGCAAACTTTATAATTAAGATCTAGTATTTAAACAGAAAACTAATGGTGCCAAGTATTCAGCCTTATGGTATGCCACAGTTCATCATAAAGTTATCCAGAATGACAAATCTTTGTAAACCTCCTAATTTCCAACCCAGAGCTTTAAAATCTGCTGGTTTGAGTCCAGTTCCGAGTCCAGTTCTGAGTCTACCTGACAGGCATCGACGCCTCCTTCTTCCTTCCCGGCGCAGAACATGGACTGTCTGATCTTGTCTTTGTAGTACTCGTTACAGGCATCCAACGACAGGATGGTCACATTCACCTCCTGCAGTCTGTTAACCCGAGGGCCGTCTGGAGATGAGAGAAGAGATCGGGTTCATGTTCTGACCCAAGTTCACCTGGTCCTTCTACAAATCAAACGCTCTGACTCTCTCGGGTGGAACCCCAGCCGGTGATGGTGCACTTCAGCAGGTCGGGCAGTGGACTCATCCAGACGTCGATGGGTCTGACGAACTCGTTGAAAACCAAAGGACGCTCAAGCTTCAGCAGAGCCACGTCGCGCTCCTTGGTCTTCAGATCGTATCCGTTATGGCTGATGATCCGGGAGACCTTGACCAGCTGAGAAGAAAGAAAACTGGAAGTAAACAAATCTTTATTCTGATTCTTGACCTGCCATTGTGTATCTATTCCTCTCAAACCCAGCTGGTGGAAGCAGATGGTCCTCTTGTCCTGATCCTGGTTCTGCTAAAGGTTTCTTCCTCATGAGGGAGTTTTTCTTCCCACTGTCGCCTTCATGCTTGTTCAACATGAGAGTTCAGTGATGGAGTTAAACTCAGAGCTGCTCCTCAGATAAATAATGTTCAGTTATTATTTTATATTTGAATGTTTCTGTTAAATTATTATTTTATAGATGAATGTTTCTGTTAAATTATTATTTTATACATGAATGTTTCTGTTCAGTTCCTGAGACGACTTCTGTTGCGACTTGGAGTTTTAGGAATAAAATGAACTGAAAGGTTAGAGCTGCTGGTTTTCATCTTTTTACAGATGAAAATCTAAAGCTGAGGTTTGAAATGGTCATTGGACTGTACATCAAGACACTCGAAGCTTTTCACAACTCTGTGCCCTCATTTACCTCCACACACACTCATACAACTCTACTGTGCACACACATGCACGACGGCTCAGTGGTTAGCACTGTTGCCTCACAGCAAGAAGGTCCTGGGTTCAATCCCCAGCTGGGGTCTTTCTGTGGAGTTTGAATGTTCTCTCCGTGCTGCGTGAGTTTCCTCCCACAGACTAAGAACATGTCTGCCTTCAGGACCAGGCCTCCCTTGCAAAGAGAGATCTGTGATCTCAGTGGGATTTGCCTGTTTAAGTAAAAAGTTAATAAAATTACACACACACACATCAGAGCCTCATCACATTCAGACACCGATGGGACACGTCAGAGGCAATGAGAAGTTCAGTGTCTTGCCCAGGGGCACTTCAACATGTGACTGCTGGTGGAATCAAACCCCAACTCATTGGAGGACGACTGCTCAAACCACTGAGCCACAGCCGCTCCAGTCCCCAGCTGGTTTAGGTTTTAGCACACCTGAACCAGAATGTTGAACTAAATCCTGAAATCAGGGAAGAGTTTCTAACCGCGACAGACTGGATTTACTGAATCTAAAGGATCTAAAACAGAATCTGGTTCACATGACGTGAAGCGGTTTGAGCTGGTTGGACTTCTGGAGGAACCAGAAGACCCAGAGACCTCCCCACCTGCTCCTCGGGCTCCTGAGGCTTATCCAGGTCGTGCCGTCCTGCCAAAACTTTCCACAGAGATTCCTTGTTGTACCTGGAACATCACAGGAAGTGAAGACAAAGTGACAGGAAGTTGACCCCTCCCTCAGGGATCGAACTTACTGGTCTGACCTCTGACCTTTTGAAGCAGTGGGCAGCAGAGATGACCCACTGCGGACCGATGATGGCTCCCCCGCAGGCCGGCATGGATGACAGCTGAAGGGAGACCTGCCAGGGCCACGAGTGGGCCCAGGCCTCCTGACCCCCGATGATCCTGGTCTCCATCTCCTGCTCAGGGGGGAAGGAGCGCTTACCCGCCACCTCTGAATCCAAACAAAGAGGTGAGGACAAACACCTGATGCAGGTGAGCTTACTGACCCGACAGGTGGGCAAAGTTTGACCAAAGACTTCACCTTAAAGAACTCACCGCTGAAGCCGAACCATCCTGAGAAGAAGGAGTGCTGCAGCCAAGTCTGGTTCATCAAAGTCCGGTTCAGCTGATTCTGGGTCAGACTCAGATTTCCACCTGAAACAAGGAAACCTTTAAACCAGGCTAAACAGCTAAACCCAGACCTAAACCCAGGACAAGCCAGGGTACCCAGAGCTCATATAATCAGAACCAGACGGGTCTTGGCCAGATTTGCACCTGAAACAGGAGCTTGAACCCAAACTCCCCTCAGAACTTCTCTGCAGTCCCAACAAACTGTTCCCACCAGACTTTCCCTGGCTCTTCCGTCAGGTTCCAGCTCAGAGAACCTTCAGGTGTTGCTCACCTGTCTGCAGCGTGACCACACGAAGCCACAGGAGGCAAGAGACCCACAACAGCATGGCTGCCCGGTACCAGGATCCGTCCAACTGAGCCCTGCTGAGCCACACCTTCATAAGTCACCTGTCTGATTGGACACACCTGCAGCTGGCAAACTGCCAGCCGCTCAGGGGTTTCCTTTGGTTCTGGTTCTAAGAGACCGGATCGGCTCAAACACTGAAACTTTAGGAAACATCACTTCCTGTTGTCCCCGTCAGGACAGGAAAAGAAGAGAAAGTTTGTTTTATGGTTTTATTCTGTGTTGAGCCGGACGGACCGTGATGAGACTAACGGGTCTCGTCTGGGTCCAGATGGTTGAACCACTGGTTCAGAACCACTGGACCCATCGTTACGTGGAGCAGCTGTTTGTGCACACACTGACTGGAACATTAAAGATCGTTGATTTAAATGTTCTGAATGTCTTTGACTCGTTTAAATTAAGAAGAAAATGTAAAACTTTGTGTCACGAGCCAGGTCCACTGTCAGCTGGTAATGGTCACAGTGGGCGGGGCCACATGTAATGAAGTTCATTAAAGTGTTTAAAAACATTTTCCTGGTTTCAGAGGCTGCACCTGCACGTTGGAAAAACTTCAGGTGTTTCTGCTGTCTGCTGATGACGTCATCATCCTACTAAACCATCTTGACTCTGATTGGCTGTGCTTCATCTCCTGTTGGTAAACATGCAGAAGACTCCTCCCCCTCCACCCGGAAGAAGAAAGAAAAGGTGGATGAAATGAGAGAAACTCAAATTTAAAGTTTCTTGATATAGAACGATCAAAAGCGCTCAGAATATGCAGTGGAGCTTTTAGAACGTCACCAGCTTTACAGGTAGAAGTGGGGAAATGCCTTTAAGACTCAGATTAAAGCAAATGTTGGTAAATGGGGTTACTGTTAAAGGACATGGTCAGTCTCATCCTATTCATCAAATAATACAAGAATGTTGGGAGCATCAAAAAACAGATATCTATAGTTTTGGCTGGACATGGAATATAAAAGCAGCGTATGCAGGATTACATGAATTAAACATGTCCTACAGTTCTTCCTAACATCCCACACTGGCTTTTTACTAACCCCTCTGTTGATCTATCTTTACACCAGTTAATTAAAATAAAGGCAAGCACACCTCAGAACATTTATTAGTGCAACAAGTCATCAATAAACAATATGGGAATAAGATTATAATATTTACAGGTGGCTCCAAAGATCCGGAGTCAGGACGCACTGGAGCAGCAATTTACATCCCAAACCAAAATATAAAGAAAAGAACAACCGATAACTTGACGGTGTTCTCATAGAATTATTAGTAATACTTGTGGGTTTAGAGTGGACAGAAAGACATGATGATAAAAAATGTGTAATAGCATCAGACAACATGGCCGCTTTATTAAGCATCAATTCAAATAAAAAAAGACGTAATTAACAGGATCCTCCACGTTTTATATACAGACTTTGGTTCCAGCACATGTGGGAGTGGAGGGTCATGAAGGTGCAGACATTTGAGCAAAACAGGCAGAAAAATTAAAAAATGATAATTACGACATACCACTATGTAAAGACGAATGTAAAATGATAATAAATACATATATTAAGGAAATATGGCAGGAGAACTGGGACATAACTGACACAGGAAGACATTTACACAACATACAGGAAAAAGCAGGTTATACAAGGAAAACAGGAAGTAACAGGAGATTAGAATCAATAATTACTGGAATTAGAGCCGGACACACTGGATTTAATAAATCTCTGAAAATAACTGGTAAATGTGCAACGGGACTATGTGACAAATGCACCAGCAGTCTCCCTGAAACAGCTCAACATGCCACTATGGAATGTTCTGGGTACAACACGGAGAGAAAGCTGCTCCGAAAACAAATAAATAAAATGAATATTAAATTTACAATTGGGGATGTTTTTAGTGGTGACATCAGCAAAGTTATTATTGTAGATTATACAAACTTTTACAGGAGATGAGGAGAAGAGATATACAATTCCAGCACTATATTAACCAACAGACCACAGTCAGTGAGGATCCACAACTTCTCCACCATAACCGTCAGCACTGGCTCTCCTCAGGGATGTGTGTTGAGCCCCCTCCTGTTTACTCTGCTCACGTATGATTGTGCAGCTACCCATCCAGGCAGTCACATTGTAAAGTTTGCAGATGATACAGCGGTGGTGGGATGCATCACAAACAATGATGAGTCCAGCTACAGGCAGGAGGTGGAACACCTGGAGAGCTGGTGCAAAGAGAACAACCTTCACATCAATGTGAAGAAGATGGAGAGTCGTGGACTTCAGAAGGAACAAACCCACCTACCCCCCAGAACATAGGAGGATCAGTGGTGGAAGTGGTCTCCAGCGATCGTTCAACGAGTTGTGTTTGAAGTTTAATCTCGTTTGTGGCATCAGGATCTACAACGAGCTGATCGAAGCAGCACGTCTTGAATCTGCTTCAAGATCTGATTCATCCAGAACGTCCCCTGGTCCGATCAGCTGTTCACAACAAGCTCACGAGGAGTTACACAGAAGGACCTGCTCACATCGATCGGCACTTTATTCTGGAAGATTTTACAAGGGAACAAAACTCTTCTGCACTTCCTCCAAAAGTTCAGGAAGTCCATTTAAAAGATCCACCACATTAAAGTTCAGACTGCTGCGATGAAGAGGAGTCACCGCATCATCTTTTCTTCAATCGTGTCACTCAGGACTTCTGGAGCAGGATGTGGGCGTGGCTCCAGGCCCCGGGAATTGAACTACCAGCTCAGACTTGAACAATAACACAATTTGTTGTTTATTTTCAAAACTCTAAAATATAATTTTTAATCAAAGTTTTTTGTTCATAAATGTAGATTTTTTTTAAAGTTGAATCCAAATTTATGTCTTTGGGGAAATGACCTGAAAAGTTTTGAGTCTTAATTTATTAAAAAGTAAATCTGCTCATGAACGGTTTGATCCGCGTCTCGTTCATCTGGATTTTATGTTTTGGATGTTTCACTTTGTTTCTCTGTAAATTGGAGTTCTTAATAAAAAAATTAGAGTCCAACTTCCAGTGACCCGGTTGGACTCTGCTGGTTCTGAGGGCCCAGCTGCAGGTCCAAACAGGACCGGGACTCTCTGGGGACAGGTTCAGGTTTTCTTCATAAACTCTGGTTTTATTCTGAAATATACCGGAAGTAGTTTTATTTCCAAGAAGTTCTGGAGGTTCTGTTTGGGACAAGGTTCAGAACCAGAGCAGACAGCAGGGGGCGCTGCAGCTCCATCACGGGCCCACAGGACCGACCCGAACCCCCTTCAGGACCGGTTTTCTTTTAGACTTTTATTAGAACTTCCCAGACCCGGTCTCTGTTAGTCCGGGTTCGGAGCGGGTCGGAACCGGACCTGCCCGCTTTAGAAAGTCTAAAAATATCGGTGTCAGGAGGTCCTGGAGCCCGGGTCCTGGTGCCGGACCCCCTCCCCCGGTCCGTGTGAGGTCCAATCAGGACCTGCCAGACCCCCACCTCGGAGGATCCGGACTCGGTTCTTTATGGTCATGGGGGATTCCTGAGAGTCCATGAGACTGACGCGGACCCTGCTCGAACCTCTGACTCACTTGGACCCCAGACCCGGTTCTGTTCCGTTTGGACCCGCAACAGAACTTTGTGGCACCCTGAAGCTGCAGGAGTCCCGACCCGAACCCACCGAGTCCGGACCCGCTCCTCCCTCCCTCTGCTTGGACCTGTCCACGGCTCCGGTTCGGTTCGGTTCTGTGGGACCATGATGATGGGCAGCTTCCTGGAGCCCCCCCAGCAGCAGGTCCCTCCTGAGTTCGGGCCCGGTTCGGAGGAGGAGGACCTGCCGTGCACAGAGAAGGACCTGGCGGAGGACGCGCCCTGGAAGAAGATCCAGCAGAACACCTTCACCAGGTGGTGCAACGAGCACCTCAAGGTCCTGCACAAGAAGATCCACGACCTGCAGCGGGACCTGAGCGACGGCCTGAAGCTCGTGGGCCTGCTGGAGGTTCTGAGCCAGAAGAACATGTACCGGAAGTACCACGCCAGGCCCAACTTCCGGCAGATGAAGCTGGAGAACGTGTCCGTGGCGCTGGAGTTCCTGGAGAGGGAGCACATCCGGCTGGTGTCCATCGGTAAGAGGGGCTCACCTGGACAGGTGGGGAGGGGGCGGGGCCACAGGGGGGCACGTGACTCTGTTGGTCTGGAAGCTCATGAAAGGTAAACCAGTCTCCTCATTGAAGAACTTTATGGGGCCTTCAGGGTTCTCCAGAACTTCCTGATCTGGACTCGTGGATCCCTGAAGGAGCAGAAGGTTCTGCTGGCCTTCAGGTCCATCAGAGGTCAGGCTTTGATAGTCCTGAGTGTTTTAGGGGTTCCTCAAGGTTCCTCAGAGACTGCCGAGGTGTTTGGAGAGAAGACCCACGAGGTCCAGATCTCAGTCTGAGAGCCGGTTCCAGCACGGCCTCAGAGACCCTGGACCTTTAACAGAACCTGGTACAGGTTCTTCTGACTGGAGTTTCTGCTGTGGGTCTGGGGGTCCCTGAGGGGGCGGGGTCTCTGAGGGGGCAGGGTATGTCTAATGATTGATGCAGAACAGCTGAGCTCCTCTGAACATCTGCTGAAAATAGAGTGAGAGTCTGAGCAGGGCCGGTCTGACCCGCAACAGGGGCCCCGGGCAGAGACCTGCTGTGGTCCCCCCCCCCCCCCCCCCCATGTCTTATTTGCAACAAACTAAATGGAGTCATTCAATTGATTTATGTAGCACCAAGTCACAACACAAGTCATCTCAGGGTATACTGGTCTACACGGGTCTACACTGGTCTACACTGGTCTACACTGGTCTACACGGGACACCCTGTCAGGTCTCAGTCCATCACAGGGACACAGGGACAGGTTTCAGTCCATCACAGGGACACCTGGACAGGTCTCAGTCCATCACAGGGA